GTCTGCTAAGTGGATTGTTACCTCTTAGTGTTCTCTTTCCAGCTTCCAGAATGCTTTTTAAAACATCCCTTTACTGTTATTTCTCTTGGGGTATTGGAAGGGCTGGAGTGAATGTTTTCAATCTGCCACTGATAACCATAGATTCTAATTGCTTTCATTTTTAAAATATAATCTCTTACAGGTATCTTCTCAAACTATCCCATGGGACTTTTATATCAACTTCAAGTTAAAGGAACGTTTAAATGAGGAGTGTGATCATTTGTGCAGCTATTATCAATACCAAGATGGCTGTATTGTTTGGCACCAATATATAAACTGCTTCACCCTTCAGGTTTGTAATAATATAAAAACATAAAATTTCAGGTCTTCAAGTAGAGACATTTGTGCTCCACTTAGCAAAAGAATGTAGTACATAGTACAAAATTCCTGTTAACCTTCTAGAAATAGTCTGATTCATTATAAATTAAAAACATTGATCATTTTCTTTTCCTAAGTTATTTTCACCAAGAACCTCTTTTAACTTTTATTATGTCAAATTTCAAACATATACAAAAGTAGAGAATTGTGCAATTACCAAAGCATCTACCTATGATCATCATCAGCTAATGGCCACTCTTGTTTTAAATTCCTGGACTGATAATTACAACATCCCTGCCACGTCTGGTTTTGATACTTGCTATGTCTCTCAAATTGTGTTTTGCCTTTTAGTATGCCTTGTAATTTTTTCTTGATAGCCAGACATGATGTACTGGGTAAAAGGAACTGCTGTAAATAGGCCTTTAGTAATGTGATAAGGTGTGAGGGGAGAGGAAGCGTTCTATAGTCCTGTGACTTATATTCATTTATAGTGAGGCTGTGTCTGCACTGTGAACTTCACAAGTGTTTCTTAGTTTTTTTTCCTCTGCTCCTTACGTGCGACAGGATGGCTACAGTGGGCTCAGGTTGGGTTATTTCCCTTTCTGAGTGCAGGTCTTGTTAGGAACAGAGTGCTCTGGACTGTTTCAGGATGGTTCCTTTTCCCTTTCCCCTGCCACAGCACAAGGGGAATTTTTCTCTGATATTTACTGAGAACCTGGTCTAGCTCCTAAAGATAAAACTCACAAAAGCATGGAGGCCCCCTATACTTACAGAGCTTAGAAGAGTTATTGATTTTCCAGTCTGTTCAGCCTTTTACTTGTTAGGACAGAATGGCTACTTCCAAACTCCTTGCATAAGGAATGGGAACCAGAGGTTTTTGCCACTCTTATTTTATCTATACTACCCCCTCACACACTGGATTATTTTTAGAACCAAAACACAATACAGTAAAACCTTGGATTGCGAGTAACGTGGTTTGCGAGTATTCTGCAATACGAGCAAACATTTCTAATACATTTTAATGTGGTAAATGAGCGATGTCTTGCAATACGAGTAGTTTGTTTCTGGAATGAATTATGCTCGCAAACCAAGGTATTACTGTATATCATTTTATCCTTTAGTATGTTCTTAGTACGTTAGGTTTTGCTGCATGGGGTTTTTTGGATATTTTT